ACAGTTGAGGCGACAGGGTAAACACGCCCATACAAAATCCTATATATAAAGGGGGCACATTTCATGCACGGGGGAGGGACAAAACAACGACAGCAGAGCTTGCTCGTGAACCGCATCAATGGTAGGCGGTTGAACCCGTTGCGGTGAATGGGCACGTTGGCACCGAAAAACCCGAGGAACAAAGCAAAACGGCACAACCTCTTGGTGTTGAGTTTGGTAGCGGATGCAGACGACCAACAACAAAAACTCCATGGGTTTCGTTCGGTACAAAACCGAGGAAAAGCACTCGACACAGGAGGGACGGTCGAGAGCATGATCGCCGACTCTCACCTCTTTCGCCCTGAACCCTAGCAAAGGACTGGTCTGGACGCTCGTAGACATCCCTGCCAGAATTCGGAACGTGAGACAGCGGTGGAGACCGGAGTCGCGGGGCATCAGGCGCACGACCAACAGCAGGCCATGGCACCGCGAAGCAGAAGCAGCAGCGCATCGAAAGCACGAAGCGGCCGCGAAACCAGGCTCGGAACCAGCTATTTAATACCTCCACGCACGTAGTTCTTCGACATCAATACTGAGAGACAAGAGCATCGGTACACGTTATCCCAAGGGGGTACCCCCCAAGGACGGCCAGACTCCAACCCAACTCATTCGACACGCGATGAGAAGAATCCACCAAAATGAAAACGATCGTTCGCCGAGAACGCCGGAGACATGGTGAGCGGTGCGTGATGCCGCCGGCAAAAACGCCGTTTGATCGCCGCGGGCAAAGGTCGAGGTCTTATACCACCTACCCGAGGTGCTGGAGGTGTCCTTCTTGTCGGCGGACACGACGAGGATGAGGGCTCTCATCTCCGGCCAGTGGTGCTCATCTGCCACCTGGCGTGCCGGGCGAGGTACAGGGGGCCAAGGGTGGGGGGGGTAAGTAGTCCGGGGGCAAAGCACGCACCATTCGTGAAAAGGTACAGGGTGGTAGTGATTCGGGGCACACAAACAACCAACCGTGTTTAGGAGAGAGGAATCACTTGGCACATCACGGAGATAGAGAGATGGGCTGATGGAGCGGTACGAGCACACACGATATTTGACATGTTTTCGGCGTGGTCAGTGGGTTTGCACTCCGTCAGGTGGGCCAGACACTGCCAGCGAGAGTGTGCGAAGTGTTTCAACGCGAGACACCACCGCCGGTGGATGGGAGGAGGTGAGGGCATGCATCAGGGCACGATGTAGGGACCAGGTGCTCGATTAAACTGCAAATATTTGAAAGGACTGCCGCCGGCAAGCAACCACGCCGCTGTCCTATGTCTAGCGACGAACACTGCACGGGCCCGCAGTCAAGAAAAACATGAAAATTGGTCTGAGAAACCACGCTTCAACTTGAAAACCTATACTAAACTCTGTACAAAAAACTGTGCTCCACAGTGCCGACAAAATTAACAACAGACCCTCGGCCCGATTTTGACGTTTCTCATCTCATGGCTCATTCTGTACACAGAAGCATACCAACAGCACCAGGCATCGGCAGGCGCACGAACGACTTTGCACCAACGGTACGAGACGCGTCGGGATTCTTGAGTGTTTCTCGCGCGATCCGCACTTCATAGCACAAGAGGCCAGGGCTTGCCGTACACACAGAAGTTGAACACTTCTCTAAGAGGTGCTCGCAGGGGAGATAAACCCAGAAGCAAAAAAACAAAATGGGCATGGACTGCGTATGATAACGACGCATTTGTCTGTCCTGCACGTCTTGGTGCCGTGGGAAGCGTGCGGCCATTACGTTCTCACCTGCACCGCAATGCTATCGCGCGCGTCTTCCCGTACGCCCTTCTGCCACTTGACGAACCCCCCGTACAGGCTGGTCGGCAACGTACAAACAAAACCCAAGGATTGAATTTAGGGAATAAATTTCAGTCGGCGGGGGGCGACGCACACCAAGACAATGGGGGGGGTATCAGAGACGTGAATCACCACGCCCTGCGTACAACGTTCCGCAGTTCCTGATTGGGGTATCATGCAAAGCGAGCTTTTCTATTGGCTAGGGGTAATTGCTGCACTGGCGTTCTACGGTTACCGCTGGTCGATAAACTGGCGGAGAACACGCCAACGCAGGCGACACACCTGAAGCTATACCCAATCGACAAGAATACACGCCGAAGACGCTGATGAACGCATTCATTCTCTCATCATCGTCGTTGCCGACAACTAAAACACCGTACATACGGTAGACTCCTGCCGGCACCAGTGGACGGACCAATGTCATCCGTGGAGTGTTGCACCTTCAACACAACCTTTATGACTCCGTTGTCCGTTTACCCCACTCCCTAGCCGCCGAACCTCGCGACTGATGGTACTGTGACCTCGTACATTGGTTTGCGCAAAAGAGACAGCGGCCGTGGAACTTTCGTTCCCTCTTTCGGATACAATGAAGGTGTACGTGGAGTACACCCGGTCCATGCCTTGGGAAACACAAGGAATATGGCCCCGTTGGATAAGTTGGAAAAGTACATCGCATCTACCCTATGGATGAGTTGGGAAGTACATGGAACACATCCCTTTTCGATGCATTGCGGAAGCACACGGAGTTGCCGCATGATTTTCGAAGTACAGTACGTAAAAGTCGCAGCCAGTTATTGCCAACCGGGCCAGAAGCGCAAACAAAAAAAACACCCGGTACGCTATAAGCGGGTTGGTTGGGAAGTAACCTGACAAAAAAAAGGGGGCGGCAACAGCATCTCGCACCTCCTGCAAGCGCTGCCGGAGCCCTGTCTCGCGATAGACGAGAGCTCTCCATCGAACGACTCCTTGGCGTTGAACAGCTTCGCCAACGAGAAAGCTGCACAGATAGGTGGCGAATCCGACAGCGGGCATAGGAAAGTGGACGGACATAGGGGTAAGAGACACGCCTTTGTGTGTCTGCATCGGTTGGGATCGACAGCGGTATATCGCCCGCCGATCGAAGAAAGCGTTTTCAGTGTCAGCGCGGCATGTATGCGTGCGTACCGAAGGTGCCGCAAGATATCACACCCCCTGGACCGGTTTTCAGAGCTCGACCACTCCACGACGAAATGGATACGCACATCAACCAAACGGCAAGTTTCGGAAGGTGGTCAACGCCAAGGTTCCAACGCCCAACATTTTCTGCAACGCAGTTCTTTCTGCCGTGGAGAAGTGGGGCTTTGAAAACCCGTCCAAGGGGGTGCGGCATCTTGTGGCACCTACGGTATGTGTTCGCCCCCGTCTGTTCTGCTCGCCATTCGGTGCGCATGTTAAACCTAACAGCCCATCGACACACGGGAGTTCTTGCTTGCACATGTGCTATTAACCATCTAGCTTGAACACCCTTGGTCGGGGGACATACGATACGGTAACGAGGGAGCCAAACCCCCAAGGGCGGGATGCACGCCTCCAAGGCCCAACAAAGGTTGCTAGCGAACGGGCTGGTTTCACAGCTACGAGAGAGCCCACGTAGATAGCAAAGCTCACACACCACGGCCATTCTCGATTGCTCCGAAGGCAACTCTCAGCAAGCCTCTCGGGCGAACGCTCCTGTACCGCTCGCGCAGCAAAGCTCGCACGCAGCGCGCGCTGCATCACCAACGTCATTCTTGCTTGCGGCAGCATTCGGTGAGACAGCAGCACTAGTCTCCGCCGAAAACGCTGCTGCTGCTGCTGCTGCTGCTACTACTCCTCCTGCTGCTGCTGCTGCTGTAACGTCATGTATGGCACTCACTGAGGCAAGCCAGTCCAGCGGCGGAAGACGCGAGTCCCGCTGCCGTCGGGAACGTGTTCCTCGAAGCGATGCGGACACGGTACTGGTCCCAGTCCCCCTCCGCGACGACCACTTCGCCGGTGGCTTCATCCCTCTGAACGAAGGAGAGAGGGCGACGGGTTTGGTCGGGCATGGCGAGAACGTCGAAGGGAGGGTCGGGCTGCGCCCATCAACCCCGCCACTGTGGCCAAAACAGCAACACGGATGCAACTGTCAACCGCCGGAGGTCAGGCGACCCCCCGAAACGAGCAAGATGGTGTTAGACACCACAGAGATGTCCGTCCAAACAACCCCCTGGGGTTCCTCCCCTGACAGTAGTGAACGGACACATAATCTTCACTGCTGTGCAATACCTTCGTTCTCTCGGCATCTACTTTTTTTTCTCTCCTGCACACTAGTGTTCAACTGTAAGGGGGATAACTTTGCTCTCTAGATGACTCCCTCTTCTCTTCAAGGACACAAATATTCCACTGCTGTGCAAATCCCTTCGCTCTAACGGTGTATCTCGCTATTTAGTGCCGAAGAAGGTGATCGTAACCGCAAAAGGCAGCCTTTCAAAGACCGAGCGCTCTGCAACTAAGAAAGATCGTGTTATCACCGACCGATACATGCGATGAAAGTCCTCTGTCTGCCTGTCTGTCTCTCATATCTCTCCCCCCCCCCCCCCCCACCCCCCTATGGAGCGTGG